GCTTCATCCTACACTCAGGAACAAGACAACCAGGTGCTTCAACTCCCTGGGATTCTTTGTATGATCTTGTAGGAGAACCCACATTTAGGTTCTTCAGGTTGTTAATCTTAGAACGGCCCGAGGAACGAGTTTAAATTAATCTGAATAATGAAAGACATTTTACAAATGTCGCTGTGCGTCTGCAGCTGCAGGTTAAAAATAAAAGTTTGCTCACTTCTAAAACCAACTTCTTTAAAAAAACGAGCAGTGGTATCACACACACACACACACACACACACACGCACACACACACACGCACAACGTCTCTATAATAATTCTCAGGAAGTGAACTTGACTAAGTTCCTGTCCCCCGCTGCCTCTGGCAGTGAGGCGGATCCAGACCGAACTGCACTGTCCCTCCACGCAGAGCCGGTTTCATTTCTGCTCTGAAACTCAAACCGCCGAGTTTCAGAGCGATGCTGAAATAAAAACCGCGAAACGAGGAGGATCGACAGACGACAGCGGACTCACGACTTGACGTATTTGACCGGCGGTGCCCCCTTCCCATCGATGAAGTTGTAGTTGCTCTCGATGACGGCCTTGGTCTTCCCCGTCTCCTCGAAGGCCGACTTCATCTCGATGCTGACAAACTTACAGACTGAAAAACAGAAAAAAACAAACTTACAGACTGAAAAACAGAAACAAACTAACTTACAGACTGAAAAACAGAAAAAAAACTAACTTACAAACTGAAAAACAGAAAAAAACCTTACAGACTGAAAAACAGAAAAAAACAAACATACAGACTGAAAAACAGGAAAAAAACTTACAGACAGAAAAACAGAAAAAAAACTAACTTACAGACTGAAAAACAGAAAAAAAACTTACAGACTGAAAAACAGAAACAAACTAACTTACAGACTGAAAAACAGAAACAAACTCTAAACAACCAGACAGGAGATTCAACTTGAGCAGTTTTCAGACGTGCAGTGAAACTGCGTTCACCTACAGAATCATTTAATCTATCTTCTTTATTATTTATCAGAGTTACTTCTGTAATTTGGTCAGAAATTTTCAAAAATGTTGGTAATAACTTTCATTTAAAGTCACAGTTTATTTACTCAGGAGTTCATTGAAACCTGAAAAGTCTAAAAATGTCAGTAAACTTTTAATGAACCTTCCTAATAATTTAGTTTAGTCAAACAGCCTGAAATAATAAAAACTTTCAGACTTTTTAAATCCCGATCATTAAAATGGTACAGATCTCCAATGATCATAAAAACAATCTTAAATTTATATCCAACATCAAATCAAAAAACTCGATGGAAATATCCAAATTAAATTAAATAAATGACAAAAATAATTAAAAATAATAAGATTTATAAGTAAATTACCAACATTTAGTGTTGAAAACGATGACATGCATGTGAGAAAAATCTAATTTTTGACATAAAATGCAAAAAAAATAAAGTTTATTTGTTTTTACTTTTCCTGAACTCATTTATTTGTAATAATTTATTTTACTGATGTTTCTTACACGTTGTAACACTTTTATATAATTTATGCCTCACAATTGTAGACATTTAACTACATTAACTGGACCTAAATCTGCTGTGGTTAGTGTTTTTCTTTT